AGCTCATTTGTGGCACAGTGCAGCAGTGGGCCGTTGTTTGATGACCCCTGATGTAGACGATGGTCGATTATAGATCTTTTCAACTACCTTGCTGTAATTACAGATGCGAATCTTACCTCGAGATCAGTAAGACACAGATTAGCATTAATTGGTCTCAATTTCTTGTAGCTGCTTGAAAACCTCCGCTGAGATGAGATAAACAAACCCAAAAGGTTAAATGGGCATCGAACCAAAAACAGTGGAGTAGGCAAAGCTGGAGATGTGTGCATCTTGCAGATAAATCCAAGCTCAAAGGTTTGGAAACAATCAATCTAATTTTGTTGGAGGATAGAGAGAATTATCATAACCAATATAGAACATCTACAGTGGAACATGACGGTGTATCAGTGTATGGCTGCATCTCAGACAACGATGTCAGTGACGTGCACAAAATTGATGACACCCTGACATGCTCATTATGGTTATGATCTAAACTGCCATTTTCCCCGGAGTGATTCATCTTCCAGCAATACAGTTATTTAATTATTACAGCAAATATGGTGAAATGATAACTTGATGGGAAATAGGCCGATTGAATACTGAAAGTCATAGCTTGGCCTGCTTAAAATCTCGATATAAACATTCCTGAAGCTGTATGGATTTATGAGAACTGAGAAGGTGTAATCTGTACAGAAGCATGAAAACAAGGTAAAATGCTCTGTGTAAAGCAAAGGGAGGGCTCGTATATAAAATACTAATGCATTTCATTGTATAACTTTTATGCTTTTCTTTTGATAATGTTTCATCCAGTTAGTAGTTCACCAACTTAGTGTAATAAATCTTTGTGACTCCAGTATGTTTATTTCTTGTGTGTTTCCTTAATTATTTCCATTACAAACAAAATCAGAGTTACAGCATGAGTTTGTTTTTCTCTTATATGATTAATGTAGTCTGGTTTTTGAAAGATATCATGCTTATCGTGAAACACATTCTGCACCATTTCATTACGCTTAGATTTTAACATTAGATTTAATATTAGAGTAAAAAAAAAATTATATGTTAGTTTACACACTGAAAACGTTAATAGGTAGGGTCGAAACCTTTTAAAGTTTCCCTTTGTGGCTCACCACAGTCGCTCAGTGGTAAGCTTGAGTGGTCTTAACACTAAAATTTGTGGCTCAATCCTAGCCGTTGAAAAGCACAGAAAACCCACTCTGAAGCTTTGCATTGAATAGCAAACGAGCAAAACGTATGAAATAAAGCCATCAAATCGTGCAGAAAGTCCAGTGTCTTAGATGTTTTAGTAATTAATCCCAAATTAGTAGGGAATTCCCACTACATGTAACTGTTTATGTGAGATAAATCTTCTTAGAGAAAACTGAATAAATATATTTTTGGTTTGGTTTTGTTGCTTATAATTCATTGCAGTTGTATTTTGATATATGTTTTTTTGTATCATCTGTCTTTTGTAGGTGCGTTTATAACTGAGGGAGATATTGGAATTGGGACTATCTTGGGAACAGCAGTATTTAATTTGTTAGGAGTCACAATGATTGTATCGTTTATTGTTTGGAAAACAGTAAGTTTTATTTTTGAAAACATTTATTTTAAATTGACTTTTAAGTTTATTGCACTATTATAAGCATTTAAAGTTAGTAATAATGATATTCCAAGTAATCTATAAATATATATTTGCTAGATGTTTTATGGACATCTTGAATTTCTGCCTGTAGACGTAAACATAAGAAAATATTTATGTATGTATATACACACACACAAATATATCTACTGTGATGTTTGATTATTTATATGGTTAATAATAAACGCGTCTGCATGGTGAAAGACCAGCGCTTTCACACACATATCGGTTTTCGTTCTGCACTGCCTTTAAAATAAATTGTTTTTGAAAATAAAATGTGTATAATTCGTTGAAACCGAATTTTATAATAATCAGAATTTAATCTTTGTGTTTAAACCGCAAATATAATCATTGATAACTTTATGGAAAAATAATTTTTGTTGACAAACTGTGATTTAAATGGGATATGTTTAATTGTTTTCAGATTTAATTTTTGAAATTCCAATGTGGTTAAGTGGATTACTAGTGATACTATCAATCAGATTTATCGCAACTGTTCTATGACATATATGTAACTGAGTCACAATTTTACCAAACATTCAACTCGCATATATATGTAATAAATATATATTAGACACGTTTTTGTAGGTATGATCTTCACTACGAAGACTATTTATATGCCAATAAAACCTTTTTATATACTTAATATTTTTATTTATATTGCACCTATAATTTTTTGAATTTCAATAAAGAACAATTTAGTCAATGACCCTCACAACCTGGCAAGAAGTGAAAACGTTAAATGAATAGATTGATAAAATTTATTAAATACACAAGGTAAAGGAAGAAACATTTTAAGTTTAATTCATTGTTCATGTTTAAGCATTCTATTCGTAACATTTTTTATTGAGGATATAATCAGTATCGTCTTCATGGCATTTGAGGATACTAGTTTTCTAGAGTTTTAGCTTTTTGACTGAATATTACAAGATTGAGTGAAATTCTGTGAACTGATATGCTTTCGTAAACTGCAACAATGACGTCACATATTGGGAAGGATATAAAAATGTTAAATGAATATAGAGTGAGAAAATATACAGAAATGCCATATCTCCCAGTTTCGTTAAGTAGTCCATATAAATTCTTGAGAAAATTATGTTTAGTCTTGTAAGTCTTAATGAAACTGATATTGTTATAGCAAGTTATGTAAAACCATGGATAATAGAGAAAGTACCATTTTTTGAATGTTAACAAACTCAATATGCTTCTTAAGAAGAAATACTTGAAATTGGTTGTTATTTTAATGAACAACTTATATAAAAATTAAGTAAGTACAAGCTAAAAACTAAGCAGTTTCAAAGTAAACGTAATATTTCGAAATTAGAAGATATTTCCATGTTGGCTGAAGGTACATTTCAAGTGGTTGTTTTTCTAAAACATGGTTGAATGTTAATGGCTTGTACCATTTAAATAGGCTTCAGCTTATTGTATATAATTTTGTAATATCTGACTAATTATTACTTAGAGGTATTAGAATTCCATACTATTTTAAAAGTTATATTCCTTATACTATGAGAAAGATACTAAATGAAAAGAATTAACTGAAATTCAGTGTCCATGGGGTGAAATGATAAATATTCTAATTCATAACTAGTGTATTGTATAGAAATCGTAGTGCAGATTTAAGTCATTCATAACTAGTGTATTGTATAGAAATCATAGAGCAGATTCAAGTCATTTATAACTAGTGTATTGTATAGAAATCGTAGTGCAGATTTAAGTCATTCATAACTAGTGGGCCCGGCATGGCCAGGTGGTTAGGGCGCTCGACTCACAATCCGAGGGTTGCAAGTTCGAATCCCCG